CAAAGTGATACAGTGCTTTTAGAAGACCAAAACTTTAAAACACTGATACGCTACTCGGTGTGCCTCGCAGATGCTGTCGAATGTTTACGGCACAATCATCCTAACACTTCAAAGTTTATGGCCAAAGCATCAAAATGTTTAGAAAAGTCAGAGGATGCAAAAGGCATTCATGACGAAATGATGATCTTTGCGAATTGTTTCGAGAAAGGTTTTAATCTGCCCTGTCTGAGAACGCATAATTGAAACTTTTATGTATACAAACGAAAATAGTTGTATTAAAGCTGATTGCTGACTCACGAAATCATCCATCTCACAACTTTCTGTTCTAGGACCGAGAACTTCACCTTTTTTTTCAACTCTTTATTTAAAATTTATGCTAAGCTTAATCTTCTAATCACTGATGGTGAATTGCGTTGTTTATCAATTCAGCAACTGTAGTAAATAGTTTAGTTTCATTGTAGCTCTGCTGGTTTGGTGGAACATTTTCTGTTTTTAATCAGAATGAAGACAAGAATTTCTTAAAACTTAAAAAACTTTATATTATAAAGATTAAAAAAATATCAATATTTCTATGCTTGTTATGTTGTTTAAGTAGCAAAGTTTACAAATATAGCCACATATGTAGTTTGTGATCTAATTTTTTGAAAAAATTTTTTCAAGTGACTAATTATTCGCGTAAAATTTTACTGACATAAAAACATGAGTGTAAATTTAGCAAAATATTCTTTTATTTTTTTCAATCTTTTGACTTCATTAGTAATTTTGTCACATTTGATATTTTGATTTTCACAAAAGTTCTTTTGTTCTTCTTAGCATTGTTAGTTACAAATTTTTTAAAACCTTTGTAAAAACTAAAATTGAGATAGTTTATGTGAATGTAATCAAAGAACAAATTCTGTGCTAACACTTTTGATGATACTATTAACGTGAAAAATAAATTAGTTTACAGAACATGCTTTTTTCAAAACGTCTTATGCATTACCGTTTTTTGCTAATGAAATGCAACGCCTTAGCGAATAAAAAAATTCCTTTTTTGCTGTTTGCACCTAATTTTGGTCAGAAAACACTCTGACAAGAAATCTTTGCTACCCTTCTAATTAAATAAATCACTGCTGTTGTACTTAAATTAACAATTTTCTTGTTGCATTTAGGCGTTTTCGTCTTGTCAGTTTTAAACAGGAAGCGAGAATTGAGTAGGTGAGAAAGTGAGGAAGAAGGACAGGAAGTAAATTAGCAAATTCAAACTATTAGAATACTTGAAACTAGTATAAAAGTATATATGCGATTCGCCGGTCTTCTGAATAGAAGAGAAGAC